CACTACCTCTGCAATTACTATTCTACTATTACTACTACTACTATTACTACAACTACAACAACTACTACTAAAACTAATGCTAGTACTACTACCAATTACTTTTCTATTACCACTACCACTACCACTACTTCTACTGTTCCTACTAGTACTGTTCCTACTACTACTACTACTATTATTACTAATAGTACTACTGTGATACTACTACTATTATTACTACTACAACCAGGATACTACCACTACTACTACTGTGATAATAATACTACTACTACCACTATTACTTCTTCTACAATTATTATTCTACTGTTACTACTACTACCAATGTTACTACAATTACTATTCTATTAATACAACTACTACTACTACCACTACCGCTACCACTACTTCTACTGTTACTACTACTACTACTACTACTTCAGTTACTATTCTACTTTTACTATTACTGCTACACTGCCACTACTTTTACAATTATTATTCTACTTCTACAACTACTATTACCACTACTTCTACAATTACTATTCTACTACTACTACTACTACTTCTACTACTACTACTACTACATTCTTGAGTAATCTATTTTACTGTGTAACTCTTAACTTCCCACTCTGAGTAATTCTAAAAGTGACAAAAGTTTTATGAGATTTATACCATTTAATTATTTGAACATTTGCGTTTCTTGCTGTTCTAATTACTTCCTCACTCTCTCCTCGGGGTCACATAGACCCGTAGAAACTTTTTATTTTCCTTCCCGCTCTCCTGGGGCGGGTCAGTCCGACCCAAAAAATTAAAAATACATGTTTGGATCTGACTGACCCACCCCAGGAGAGCGGGGAAAAAAAAGTTTCTATGGGTCTATGTGACCACGAGGAGAGCGTGAGGGTTAACTTCAGCTTAACTTCAGCTTAACTTCAGCTTAACTTCATCTTAACTTCATCTTAACTTCAGCTTAACCCTCACTTACTTGGGCTACTTTGTTCAGGCTTTGAAAAGCCGGTGGCCTTACTGGTTTGTCAAAGCCTGATCCCGTCAGATCTCAGAAGCTCAGCAGGGCCGGGCCTGGTCAGGACTTGGATGGGAGACACTGGGAAAACCAAAAGCCACAGGGGGGCGCCAGTCATAAAAACTGTTGTTGTGTCCTTAGGCAAGGCACTTCACCCTCATTGCCTAGTATGAAAGTTGTGAGTGATGGTGGTTGGAGGGGCCGATGGTGCAGATTGGCAGCCTCACTTCTGTCAGTCTGCCCCAGGGCAGCTGTGGCTACAGTAGTAGTTTAACACCACCGGGTGTAGAGTGAATGAATAATGCTCTGTAAAGCATCTTGAGCGTCCAAAAAAGCTCTATATAAAACCGAAGCATTATTATTACTTTAAATAATATTCTTCAAGCAGTAAAATAACTCCTACTTGAGTGAGTAAACTACAGTATTTGGCTGCTCTTCCCACCTCTGATTTTAGACCCTGGCCCTGTCTTGTTTCTCTTTGACCCAGCAACCTCTTTAGTTATATCTAAAACATTTACTTACTGTTGTATATAAACGACTCACCACAAACCATAGAATTGTCTAAATAAAAACACACATTTAATACCAATGTCCATATATAAGCATATAATATTTTTTCATTATTATTATTATTTTTTTTTCTCAAACTATTCAAACTATTGATTCATTAATACTTTTTAAATATTATTATCATTACTATTTATTTTTATTTATTTTTTTATGTACCTTTTACATTGATATTAGTTTTATGTGTGGAAAAAAAACCAAACTGTGCATAAATACTGTGACTTACGTGAAGAAAATAAGGCACTGAATAAATTACAAATAAAATATATAAATATATATATATATATTCCAATATGTCAAATAAAATCCCACACAGTTCCTCATTTTTTAATAATTGCATTTTTATTAATTGAAAACAAAAAAAACAAAAAAAAAAAAACAAATGCAAAAAAAAAAAAAAAAAAAAAAAAAAAAAAAAAGAGCCAAAACATGAACAGTATCATCATTGTGTAAGACGAGGTGAGACGAGACACTTAAATAAAAGGAGCTGTGTCGACTGGATGGAAAGGGGGCGGGGGTATGTACACTGTTCCTCACTGGGGGGGGCGGGGCTTAACAGCGGCGGGGAGGGCGGGGCCGGAGACACTGAGGACACCAGAGAAAGGCACTATCAGAGAGAACACTGACACATCAACAGAACAGCCGCGGGACAGGAGCGGGGCGGTCGGTCAACAGACTGGACTAGTGTAAAAGAAAAAAAAAAAGAAAAAATTGGTCAAATAATCACAGTTTTGACTAATGCAACGTTTGTATTGCAATAGTAGTGTGACCAAAAAAAAAAAAAAAAAAGAGAATTTCAAGTCCATGAGATCAAAAATTGAGGTTCGGTTAAGTTATGATAAATCCGTGTATCATTTATTGATTCGTTTTTCAAAATAAAATAAAATAAAACGAAAAATCAACTATTTTCGTTATTATTTGTCTCCAAAACCAAAATGAAAAAAAATTAATAATGATTCGTTTTTTCCATTTTCGATTTTGTGTCTAAATGAAAAATGGAAAAAGCGGATTATGGACGTTTCCTGCTTACGTGACTTAAACACGATGCCGGACTAAAACAGAACTAAATCGGTCCCAGTTCTAGTCTTGTCCCGGTTTCAGTCACGATCTCGGTCCTGATCACCAGACAGTCTACACGGCCGCACCTCTGAGCCCGCCCCGACACTCAGTACTGGTTTAGTCCTAATTTAGTCCTAGTTTAGACCTGGTTTAGTCCCGTTTTAGTCCTGGTTCAGTCCCTATATGATGCAAAAGTCCGGCATAGCAGTTTAAGTTTCAGAAATGTTATCAGTTTTTTCCACAAAATCGAAAACTGAAAAAAACAAATCATTATCCATTTATAAATTTAGATTTTGGAGACAAATAATGAAGATAATAGTTGTGTTTTTTTATTTTCGGTTTTATTTTTGTGTTTAAATGAAAAACGGAAAAACAGCCATTTCCCGTTTCCATGACTTAAACTTGATGCCGGACTAAAACAGGACTAAACTGGTCCCAGTTCTAGTCTCGTCTCGGTCTCAAGTCCAGATCACCCGACAATCTACGTGGCCGGACCTCTGAGCCCATCCCGACACTCAGTACTGGTTTAGTCCTAATTTAGTCCTGGTTTAGACCTGGTTTAGTCCTGTTTTAGTCCTGGTTCAGTCTGTATCTTGCGCAAAAGTCCGGCATCGCAGTTTAAGTTTCAGAAACGGGAAATGTTATCAGTTTTTCCACAAAATCGAAAATTGAAAACACAAACCATTATCCGTTTTTAAAATTTATTTTGGAGACAAATAATGAAGATAATAGTTGTGTTTTTTTATTTTTTATTTTTGGTTTTAATTTAAAAAACAAATGAACAAATGATACACGGATTCTGATGAAATCTAACTTAGAGCTTTAATTTAAAAACAAATTTGTAGGTTAAACTTGAATGGAGACAGTGGGCATCCTTGTCCATTACCCTTTCACATTAATTTTTCGAAACAACTCATCTACACTTGATGCTGGGGCGTTAACCACTCTGCTAGTGTGTCCCCAAAATGAATTATTACATGACACAATTAAATATTACATTTATGATAGAATGAAAAGGTATTTTGATTAAAAAGTGAACCTTTGTAATAGGTTTAAGTAACCAAATAAAATCTCAACTTGATCACTTGAAATCAGTCAACATGATTCAAACTTTATTCCAAAAAGTTGTCCACACTAGTCAGGTTTCAATAAAAATATATTCTTGTTTGGTTAACATAACATTACAGTACATTCAAATGATTTTTCACGGATAAGGGAACAATATTTCCATCGACAACCAATTAGGGTAGTGAATACAATCGTCACGTTCAAGTTTCATTTCCCAAAATAAAAGTAATTTCCTGAAATTACTACTACAAAAAAAAAAACAACTCAGCAAATAATAGATGCATCACAAATTTTGGACTTCCGGCCATCGTGCAATGCATACTGGGAAGGATTTTCCGAAAAAGCGAGCCTCAAATCGCCATGTTTGATTTCCAATTTCTGGGATTTGTTTATTGACAAAGCCGATCTTTTCAAGTCTTTTGAACCATATGGCTTTTGTTTCTGGTTCTGATATTGTCACATTTTAGTTTTGGGATTCGGACATCGTAATCGTGTGGTTGATGTTCTAACAGTGGAAAACGGCTGGAGAAACGGGCTTCGGAAGTTTGTGAACTCCATAAATGCAAAAGGGAATCAGATCTGTGTGACTGCAAACCTCTGTTCTAACTGTTTCTCTTCCCAACAGAATTGAAAAAACAGTGAAAGGTGAAGACGATGGACAGGATTGATCCACAGAAAGGATGAAAAAGCGAACATTTTGTATGTGGAGCGACAACAAAGTGGGATCCCGTTTGTTAAGCGAGAGGTGCAGAAGACAAACAGACTGAGCTGCACTTTCTTGTTCTTGTGGTTTTACAGCAACATCACGTCTTGGTCTCTTTGCAGTGGAAGGTGTTTCTTGGTGAACAGCTGGTGCCTTTCGCTTTGGCGATGACTTTTTTAAATTCATAACCAAAGTTGAGCGAGGAATCGGGGTTTTGCTTTGTTGGAGCTCCACATACAAAATGTTCGCCGCAAACTTGGGATGATTTAGGCAGCCAAATGTTTGATTTTTTGTCCTTCCAGTGGATCCATCGCCTTTCACTATTTTTCAATTCCGTTGGGAAGGGAAACAGTTTGAACAGAGATTTGCAGTCACACACATCTGATTCACTTTTGCAGTTATGAAGTTCGCAAACAAATTTCTCGAGCCGTTTTCCACTGTTAGGACGTCCAACAACCACACAATTACGATGTCTGAATCCCAAAACTAAAATATTTCGATATCAGAACCAGAAACAAAAGCGATATGGTTCAGAAGACTTGAAAAGTTCGGCTTTGTCAAGGTTTGATGCTCACTTTTTCTGAAAATCCTTCCCAGTATGCATTACGCAACGACCAGAAGCCCAAAATTCGTGACACATCCATTAAGTGGCGTAAAAACATGCTAGTGTGGACACATTTTACTACTAACCCAGTCGAACTCAATTGCCAAACCAACCCCAGGAGTGAAAAATGACTTGAAAAAGTGCTTGACCACACACACCACACGATACACAAAACAATTGAGAACAAAACATTTGTACATTGTTGAAGCTGATCTCTCGAAAGACAATCTTGCTTTTTTCCGATTTGTCCATGTGTGCCACGGGTGATGCCGGGGAGAGCGGATGCATGCGCGATGTAGGCTTCGATGACCCCTTGCCGATCGTTTTCCGTAATTTCCTACGTGTACATTTCTCAACTTGCGCGGGGGGTTTTTCAGCATGTCATTTTGAAAAATCAGTTCTCCGACCGCGTGTCCCTCACGTTAAACGCCAGTCAGCTACATTCACTGCCCGAGTACAAACGGCTGAATAAATACATTGGTTTTGGAGAAAAAGAAAAGTGGTGGGACTTGGGGCGTGACAGCGTCCATGGCTCGATGCTAGCTGAGTGCTGGCTCTTCTTTCTCGTCTTCCTGGATTTGAACGTGTCCATCGTTTTTTTTGTTTTTTGTTATGATTTCCCTCAAAAACGTCGGTTTGTAGCGACTACTTGAAATGTCATGCGCTGGAACTGAGAGGTATGGCGACCCTCGAAGGACAAGTCACAAGTTTGCGGTCGTTTTTTTTTAATACTCATCTCCCAAATTCTTGTTGCATAACTTTTCAATTTTGGCATTTTGGCGTAACGATTCTTCACGACTTTTCTTCCGATTTGTCGCTGTGACTTGTCCTTCCAGGTCACCGTAGAGAGGCCTTGGATAAATTCTAAAAAAAAATTTAAAAGAAAAACAAAACAGGACAGTTCAGCACATGGCTACAAGGTCTAACAAAAGATTAAACATAATTTACAAATGAAAAAAAAAATACAATTTGCGATGAGAGGTAAAACAGACAAACACATACAAATATATAATATATATTCTTAAAAAATGGATTCTCTCTATAGGTGATTTATTGTACAATGCTCACGTGCCAATGATCTCAGACATGGAAACTTGCGGTAAATGGCATCAGTTTTTTCCTCTACAATTTTTTAAAAACCATTTCTTCTTTTTTTGATTTTTTTTTTTTGATTTTTATACGTTAAAACTGGTAGGCGTTTTTGTTTTAGGTGATTAAAACATGCAGCAAAAAGGAACAGAAAAAGGGCAGAGGAAAGGCAGAATGTTGCGAAGTGGAGGGTCGTGGTTCTTCCCTCACGGAGTCCTCGCCAGGTCAGGGTTTTTTTTTTTGGGGGGTGAGGGGGGAGCATTCTCAGCAAAAAAAAGGTTCATTCTCTCAGCTGCCACCCACGGTCCTCCCTGATTCTCCTGCGTTCGGGCGTGAGGGCATCAGGGGCTGGAGGAGGAGGAGGAGGATGCGGAGGTGGTGGAGATGCTGAAGATCATGGATGGTCGCAGAATAGATCAGATGGTTGGCGGTGTTGTTGTTGTTGTTGTTGTTAGTTGTTGGCGTTTCCGTGGTTACATGTTCCGGATGATGGGCGTGACGTAGTTGCGGGGGAACATGCCCGTCTGGCCGTGGCAGCCTCCCTTCCACCAGTTGGGGTCTGAGTTGTCCAGGACCTGGATGAAGTCTCCGCGCCGGAAGCCCAGCTCGCCCTCCTCCTGCGGGTCGAAGTCGAAGAGCGCCTGCACGTATGTCGGATGCTGCAGGAGAAAAAAATAAAATAAAAATCACAAAGTTAGCGCAGGGTACAGATAACATTCACTGAAAAACGCAGAACTGTTTAGGGAAGTGGATCCAAAACTTGACGTTGATTCTTTGCATTTGAGTATAGCGATGGGCATGATTAGTCGACTAAACGATACTTGATCATTAAGAATTTCATCGATCACGTTAATTTTTAATCGACAAAACAAGTCAGGATATCCCCAGGTTTGACTATCTCAAATTTAAGACTTTTTTAAGACCTTTTAAAGACCACTTAAATGAAAATGAAATGTTAATCTTAAATGAAAGATCCAATTCTAATAACGACCAACCAACGATGGTACTGTATCTAGAATTTAAGAGCCGCTGTTTATTAAACCTACACTTCCTCCACTCTACTGATTCTTTACTCATTGCCGCTGGCGCCAGAAACCAAAGTATTGCACATACACAAGTATTGCACAAAGCGTTGCACATACTCCAAATTAGATGTTCATTCACGTTACACAATTTCACGTTTTTTTTTTTTTTTTACCTTCCTCCGTTTAACATCGCACTGCAGCCCAGTTGAGTTTACAAAAAAATGAGGCTAATGAAATTTAAGTCCAACAGAATTTAAGACTTTTTAAGGCCTTAATTTAGGAACATGAAATTTAAAACCTTTTTAAGACTTTTAAGACACTGTGACTGCCCTGCAAATGTAGGTTGCTGTGCGTAGCTGTCACAGAAAGAACACTCATATTCCACTGAGTCGTGTCCTTTAGTCCCACAGAAGCTGAACCGCATCAGGGCACAAGGAAAAAGCTGTTTATTTCAGGGCTTATAGTTTATGCAAATGAGTCATGTGGTTTTAAATTTTGTTTCTGTAAAACGTAAACAAAAGGTTCAAAGCTGCATTAATAAACACATTATAATGTCAAACGGGCTGATGTGGTTCTGTAGTGGTTATGGTTTATATGTTGTAAAGTTGAGTTTATTTATGTAGATTAGTAAAAGTAATATTAATGATAATTTTAATAGAAAAATGTTAATGATTAATCGAAAAATGTATCGTTAATTCTCCCGACGATCGATTAAGAAAACTGAAATGAATGTCCATTCCTAATTGAGTTCATGCATTTATTTCACAAAACCATATTACAGTTTAACTGTAGTAGTATGAAGTGCTTGTGTTGCCATTACTGGATGAAGATTGGTGTGTCAGCAAGTAAATTTTACACCTTGTGTTTATGAAAGACATAATGTGAAAAATGTGAAAAATGTGTCAGTGCCCAATCATGTCTCATCTCTGAGGCCAAACTTGGACGGGAAACTGCTGAGAACACCGTGTACCACTGTGGGCAGCAGTGGCTCTAGTAAAACTGAAGCCATTTCACTCACTTTGCCAAACATGAACATGGTGTGTGAGTGATTGGTGGTGGCTGAAGGGGCAGATGGTGCAGATTGACAGTCAGTTCGCCTCGGGGCAGCTTTGGCTACAACAGTATCTTGCCACCACTGAGTGTGGAATGAATGTTCAACAGGATTTTCAATACAATGCACTTGTGATTCAATACAATCAAATATTATTTCAAACCGATTTGATACGATTCGGTGAAAAACAAAGGTTAAATTATGGCTCTGATACTAAAAGTCTTTATTAAACCACAATGTCTGTGCAAAGTGAATATGACACACATCGATTTTACTCAAAACAGTGAAAATGTCGACACGATTAATTGAGTAAAATATACCTAAATATTAGGGGTGTGCAAAAATATCAAAATATCAATATACTGTATTGCTGAATGTGATGATACAGTACCGATATCATGGGCTGCTGTATCGATATATCTCCAAAAGATATATTTTACTAAATTATTTTCTAACAGCACTACAGTTTTGTTGCTTGTTCAGTGGAAGGAAACTTTTTATGCAACACATTTGACATTTTCACTGTTTTGATGATGTGTTTCATATGAACTTTGCACAAGAAGTGGTTGAACAAAAACTATTAGTATCACAGCCATGATTTAGCCTTTATTTTTATTGAACTGTATTGAATCGATTTGAAATATATCGTACTGAATCGTAAGCTCACTGTATCGAGGTATGTATCGTATCGGCAACTTCTTAATGACTCAGCCTTAATGTTCAATGCATGAAACTGCATTTCCGAATGACTGAAAAAACTCTATATTAAGACTAATGCTTTATTATGATTATAATCTTAGAAAACGCTCTTTAAAACGCTCAGAGGCTGTACCTTAGAAACAACCTACGCCCAGAAGAAATCTTTATATTGTATTCTAAAAGTACTGCAAGTTCAAATACCCTGTTATGTCATGTCATGCTCAGAAAAACTTGTATATTTTTAGACTGATGTACAGTAAATGAAAAACACAAAGCTTTACTTTTGCTGCTGTTATGTAGAAAACAATTATTATTTTTTTTTTAACCTAAAATCAGACTAAAAAGATAAAGGTGCAATGTATGGCTTTGCTAACTGCAGGTTCTACCACTGCACTTGTATCCACGGAGATGACATTATTTCACTCAGAATGTCCCACAGTACGGCATTAAACTCATCTATCCCCATGAAGACGAGCAGATGTCACCACCGAGTTAAAGGGCACATCTGCAGAAAGGCCACCCTGCTCGAATACAAAAAAAAAAAAAAAAGTAAATAAACTAAATAAATACCAGACTGCGAGGCATTCAAGGCAACACGTAAATCTCCATACAGACAAGCAGGTTTGAGTCGTCTTCACGAGAAGGTTACGCAATGCTCGTTTTTTGGGGTTTTTTTTTTTTTAGTCTCACGAAGCGGAGAAGTGCCAACAAACAGAGCCGATTGCGTCTGTTATTCTCCGCGCGGTTCACACCGAGTCCAAAGGTTATTGACTGGAGGAAATTAAAACCCCGAGCACAATGACGGACACCAGAGGAGCGGCGGCCCTCCTCCGATAACGGTAATAAGGTCACAGGAGTGTCTGGAGTGTTTGGAACGACTTCAAAGCTCTTTCGAATGACAATGCTTCACACTTGATTACCGCTGCGGACACGATAACGCGTCGTAATGCAGGGACACGGACGGAGGCGGTCGCGTCACGTTGTCGCTCGAGTTGTTGAAAGTAGGGATGGGCGTTCGAGTAAATTTTCTCAATCGATCGTAGGGAGAATTAACGACTGATTTTTGATTAATTAAACGTTTTTATATTAAAATTATCATCTATTTTTTTGTAAACTCACTCGGGCTGCGGTGCGATGTTCAACAGAGGGAGTGAAAAAAAAAACATTGTGAAATCACATAACGACTAATGAACGTCTAATTTGGAGTTTGCGCAAACAATACTTTGGTTTCTGCCTTGACAAGACTTAATCCAAAGAACTAAGACGCAAAAGTGCTTAGAACTGTTATTTCTTCTTGTAGTCTGCACTGAAATGGAGCAAAGGATCATGGTCTATGTAGTTCTCTCTGTATTTTTTTTTAGCTATTGCTGCACCATAACGAAGAATTTAAGCAAGGAGACTTGTAATTCAATATATTCTGATGGTCCATGATACTATTGTGAGAACTTTGACTATTTTGTTTTATTTTATTAAATTTTATTTTTTGAAATTATTAATTTTTTTTTGTTTTGTTTTTATTTAATTGTTTTTTTTTAGTTTTTTATTTTATTTATTTAGTTTTTTAATTTTTTTTAATTTTTTATTATTTTTTTTATTTTATTTTATTTATTTATTTTGTTATTTTATTTTGTTTTTTATTTATTTATTTATTTATATATTTATGTATTTTATTTTATTTTATTTTTATTTTTAATTTTTATTAATTTAAAAATTTTTGATATTACAGTGGAGGAGGGTAATGGGAAGGTGGGTTTAGGGAATAAAAAAATTGTCACATTATATTACTACTAATTGTTTTTCCCTGACATCTGCTTTAAGTGCACAAAAAAATGTTATTCATCAGCACAATGGGATAATTTCGAAATCTTTTGGCGAGCTACAGGTTGGAGACCCCTGCTTTAAGGTAAAATTTAAACCAAAAAATTTAAATTCTAAGTAATTTATTTAATGCATTTCTTATGTCTCAGCAGCATTATCAAGACAAAAAGACCAACTGTACCTTTATAAATTCAGAAGAGTCCTCTGATGATTTATTTCTATTTAAAGAAAGTTTTTAGCAGGTTGTCAGTAACATTTACCCACGCCTTTCTCTCTCTGCAATATGTTATCTTTAAGTATTTATACATTTTAGCGTGACTCTAAAAAACCCACGGAGATATAATTAGACCGCAAGTGCGATTACATCAGATCTGCGTCTGCATGAGCACATCGACACTGAGAATCTGTAATGAAAATTGGTACAGGACCAGATGGTAAAGTTAAAATGTTAAAGAAGCAACAATATTTTGTGTTGACGTTAATTTCTGATGGCTAAAAAATCATTTAAATCATCTTTGTGCCATTAAAACCTCATAACAGCATTTTTTCATTGAGTTTCACTGAGTTTTATTACCATTTATGAGCTCTTTTACATTATGAACTGTTATATCCGTCAAAGGATTTCGAAATTATACCATTGTGCTGATGAATAAAATTTTTTTGTGCACTTAAAAGCAGATGTGACAGAGAAAAACAATTAGTAGTAATATAATGTGACAATTTTTTATTCCCTAAACCTCCCTTCCCAATTCCCCTCCTCCACTGTAATAAAAAAAATATATATTATTATTATATTATTATATAAAGTAATACAAAAATAATAAAAATAAAGCAATAAGTAATGCGAATAAATAAATACATAAATAAAAACAACGAAAAGAGGGAAATACTTTTAAAAACTTTTTTCTTAATAACAAAAATTTTGTTAATAAAATATTATTATTATATTATTATTATTATTATTATATATAAAGTAATACAAAAAATAATAATAAAGCAATAAGTCATGTGAATAAATTAAAATAAATAAATAAATATAGTGAAAAGAGGGAAATACTTTTTAAAACTTTTTTTATATCAAAAATTTAGTTAATAAAATAAACAATATAATAATAATAATAATATAAAGTAATACAAAAATAATACAAATAAGAATAAAGAAAGCAATAAGTAATGTGAATAAATAGATTGAATATAGGGAAAACAGGGAAATACTTTTTTTTAAACTTTTTTTTTTTTTTAAATAACAAAAAATTTAGTTAATTACATGCCTGTTACTATTGTAAATGTATAATTCTGAAGTCCAACTTTTTTCATTAATAAATGGACAGTGGTTTATGTTTCATAGGCGTCTAACTGTTCCCAAATGCTCGCTGTCTTTCTTATAATCGCCTCGAGTTTTTTGTGGTCGCTAAAATGAGTAGCTCTCTGGCATTTTTGTTTTGTAAAGGAGCTCAACGCTGGAAAAAAGTTGGAGACCCCTGTTCTAATGGCAATGTAGAGGCTTTTTGTTTGCTAAATAAAAGATAAGATTTTTTTTTATTAATGAATTTTGTGTGTAAATCTCATTCTAAGGTTTATTGTTAAATGTAAAAATATGTATTAATAGAACTACGGTAGTTTTTTCTTTGTGGTGAAGAGGTGAAGGATGCGCTCGTACCTGGTGGACATGCTGCTGCTCGATGTCCCTCAGGAAGATCTGCTGGTTGCGGGACACGGAGGTGGTCCGGTGATAGTCCACCAGCTCGTTCAGGGAGTTAAACTTCACCACCCACAGGAAATATTTACCGGCGCCGTCGCGGAGGACTTTGAAATGCTGAACGTCGTTTCCGAACCTGCGACACACAAAATGTACAGTTTATTACAATGTTAGGTTTAGATCATAGCGTTTACTGTGACCGGAGTGTACAGATGTAGTTGACTTGAGAGATTTTAATAGGCTCTATTCACGCTTACGTCACAAACCAGGAAGACGTTTGGAAAGATGCAACTTCCCGCGGGCTCTGTTTTTGGTACTAAGTCTGACAAAATCTAAGAAAAATGGGAAATGGCCCAGTTTTCTTCATCTCCATGTCATTGTAGCGTTCTGTTATCTTCAGCTAATCAACAATTTTCATAATTCAAGATGATTTCAAACAGCACATACGTCTCCAGTCTTCATTTTACCGCTGATCACGTTTACTTCACAGTCGGTCGGCGAGCCCAGAGTCGGGGAATACACCGGAAGTTGTCATCACATGTTTCCAAACGTCCTCCTGATTTGTGACGTAAGCGTGAAGAGTTCTTTTCTCGTCCTTCCTGTGGATCAATCCTGCCCATCGCCTTCGCCTTTCACTATTTTTCAATTCCGTTGGGAAGGGAAACAGTTTGAACGGAGGTTTGCAGTCACACACATCTGATTCCCTTTCGCATTTATGGAGTTTGCAAACTTCCGAGGCCCATTTCTCGAGCCGTTTTCCGCTGTTAGGATCCAACAACCACACAATTACCGTATTTTCTGGTCTTAAGCCTCTAACCGCATCAAAAAACGACCACGCACCCCGCAATTCAGAGCGCCCCATACACGAATTCACTCAGGTGTCCCAGCACGACTTCAGTAAACTACAAAGCCGCAACACCCGCAGCGCACGCAAACAAACACGGAGCAGACAGCGACTGCGCAGCGAAAAACACCCACAGACACACTCATCACTCCACGCCAACGAGGAACGGAACGGAGGAATGAACCGAAAAAGCGAGTGCAATGTGCCACTTCTAGACACGACTGAACAACTGAGTCACTGCGAACACGCCGACAATCCGTTGGTCCCAGACAGCACCCTCCCTACACGCCACAACTGAACAAAGCCCAGAGTCACCGTGAACGAACAAACAAACAAAACCACTGACCCATCACACTGTTGTGTTTCGTTTAAAATCCGGTGCGGTTTATTTGTGAAAAAAGTTAAAAAATAGACCATTTAATGACAGTGCGTCTTATAATCCAGAGCAACTAATAGTGCGGAAAATACGGTATATAAAACCAGTGATTTGTCCCAGTTTTATCAAGAAATGTAGCCTGATTCATCAGCCGGTTTCACTTCATGGAAACCGTCTGACCTCACAGCTTTAGGATTCGTTGGCTCAACAGTAGGCAGGTACTTTTTTTATATAGCCAATCGCTCAGTGGTAACATGGCAAAAATAACTGCCATCACTACAGCAAACAAAGCAGAGAGTGAACATGTCTGTCAACGATCATTGTCATTTCTGCGAGGTGAACTTGCGAATTAAAGGTGCAATACAAAATGCAAAGTTTGTATTTAAGGAAGTCCAAAGGAGGATAGTGTATGCAGCCTGCTATCGCAACTTGGTTTGGTTAAACTGTGGTCTACAACATCCAGGGGTCTTGCAAACCGTCTAGCGAAAAACACCCACAGACACACTCATCACTCCACGCAGACGAGGAACGGAACGGAGGAACGAACCGAAAAAGCGAGCGCAATGTGCCACTTCTAGACACGACTGAACAACTGAGTCACTGCGAACACGATGACAATCCGTTGGTCCCAGACAGCACCTCCCTACACGCCACAACTGAAACAAAGCCCAGAGTCACCGTGAACGCCACAAACAAACAAAACCACTCACCCCCATCCAACTGTTGTGTTTCCTTTAAAATCCGGTGCGGTTTATTTGTGAAAAAAGTTCAAAAATAGACCATTTAATGACAGTGCGTCTTATAATCCAGAGCGCCTAATAGTGCAGAAAATACGGTACGATGTCTGAATCCCAAAACTAAAATACGACAATATCATAACCAGAAACAAAAGCGATATGGTTCAAAAGACTTTAAAAGATCGGCTTTGTCAATAGACATAAACATGGCGGTTTGATGCTCACTTTTTCAGAAAATCCTTCCCAGTATGCATTGCACAATGACCGGGAAGTCCGAGATTCTTGATGCATTTATTCAGATCTCTCACTCTATGTCTTCTCATTTCTGATGTTGTCCAATGGAAACACTTATCACATCAACTAACACAAACTTATATTGTCCTATAACCCTGAAATGTGCGATCTGGTTTGAAGCCTGCATGGTTAGGGTTACAAACCGTTAAGCCGTCAGTTCTCAGGCTTAACGCTTAACTCGCTGCACCACTTTCTATTTACATTTAGCCAAAGTTTATTTTACTCTAAAGCATGTTCTCGTTTGTGAGTTTCGTTCACTTGCAAAAACAATAGAGCTTCTCATTTTAATTCACTTCTGCTTCTTGTTAGAGGTAAATATAATCTACACTTCAAAAATATTGATTTACATGTAAATCCCCTTAGGTCACTTTGTAAATTAGATTCAAATTGGATTCAAAACACCTGGTTACGTAACAATAATAAAACCTAGGATGAACGCATGAAATTAAGTATATATATAATGTTTTTTTTTAATACATTTGTACAAGTTTCCTCTGGAGATGATCAAAGCTGACGTCATGGCAGATTTGCATAGAAAAGCGTACAGAGATAAGTGGATTTGGGAGAATTTACATAAATAGGAGGTTATTACAGAAGCTTATGATGCACCAGAGGAGCGGTGAGGAGATGGAAAGCACTTAGGCAAATCAGACACTAAAGCTGCTGTGAGCCGTGAGCCCGGCCCGGCGCTGCGCTGGGCTGGGCCGGGCGAGCTGGAGGTGCGTGAGTCAAAACAGCTCTCACCGGACCATTACGACAATCATCGTACACAATGCAGAGCGGGGCAGGGCTGCACGGGTTTGTAAACGTTACTGGTGTTGAATATCAGCGGCAATACTGGGAAAAATAGGGATGGGACCAGACACAATTTCCACGAGACAATGTAATTTCTAATGCACTGTATTTTTTGGACTATAAGTGGCTCTGGAGTTTAAGTCGCACCAGCCAAAAAATGCGTAATGAAGAAGAAAAAAAACATATAAATGAGGGAAATTTACTTTACAAAATCAGAGACCAGGAACCAACATTTCATCGTAAAAGTCAAATTCTGGTAATAACAATAGAACAGAGAACAACAGACTGTTAACGTCACATATGAACAATTCTTCAGATAAACTATAACATAAACAACAGAACAGAACAAGTTTAACAAACTCTCCATCTCACTCCAAATCACTAAATCCATTCAATTCTTCATCCTCTGTGTCACTTCTGAACAACTCCGCGACCTCCGGAGGTAAAAAGAGTTCCAGTTCCTCTTCTGTGTCGCTGTCGTCAGACTCAGCATCAGTTCCAGTTAGAATTATATCGGTCTTTCTGAATCCCGACAGGATGGTTTCGGTGTCACTGAAGTCCAGGCTTTGTTGATTCATCCAGTGACTTCAGGAAAGTTTCATGGTGCATCCTCCCAGTTGCGGTGAAGCTGTGTTCTCCATCCCCGCTTTCCGCCAGTCCCTCACAAGTTTCTCACTCACTCTAAACTTTCTTTCTGCTGCTCGATTATCATTTTTGGCTGCAGATTTCACTACCTGCAGCAGGACACTTGCAGGAGACATGCGCAGTAGAGCCAAGTGACAGTGGTACAGGAGGAACAGGAGCAGCAGATACTCACACACAAGACTAGAGCCTCTTGCAGCTTCAGTGTGAAAATGTTAATATATAAGCCGCACATGAGTATAAGCAGGACCACACAATCCATGAAAAAAAGTGCGACTTATAGTCTGAAAAATACAGTATACATTTGTGATTCAGTTTCCAGTTTTGGTCTCACAATGTTTTTATTATTTATTTGATTTCATATTTTTGTTTCCATTCTACTAGTGCTGCTTTTAGAAACTGTAAGAGATGTAACTCACCAACCCATAACCATTTTTTGTCTTATCCTAATGTCAGGGTTTCCACTCTTTTTCACAGACAAAATTTCAAAATTTTTTCTATGATTTTTTCATGACCTAAAGTGAATTTTCCATGACTTTACGGCACCTACATGTGTAGAATTGATCAGACTTTTAGGGCTAAATATGAACTGTTAACCCTTTATACTCACCTTATGGTTTGGGATTATAGTTTTTTTAACATTCAAAATCCTGTCACTGCATTTACTGTCGTCTCTTTTAAACAAAAGACGCATACATTTGGAAATAATTATAATAGTCTCATGAGAACTTAACAGAACGCTGTAGTTGCGTGAAAGAGAAACTAAAATTGTATGTCTTTCCCAAGCTTGGAAAATGACATTTTCAATTACCGCGACTTCTCCAGGATTTCCATGACCGTGGGAACCCTATAATGTAAAAAATTCTCAAAAAAAATTCTCAAGATAATTTTGTGGCAATTTTGTCTCGCAAATCTTGTCCCATCCTGACTGAAAAACTAGATATTGTCTCCAAAATATCAGTTCAGCAGAAATCCTGGTTTAATAAATAAACGAATGTAATAAGAATATTTACAGGTTGTTGGCTCAGAAAGTCTCAATGTTTTAACTATGGTGAGACATTAACGCGTTAATTTACGATTGATTAATTAATTACAAAGAAAATAATGCATGAAAAATATTAACGCATTTTATCGCAGTTTGCCAAACTACGGGGAACGTTTATCAGTGCACCGTGTCATGGAACGCCAATTATACAACAACAACAGAGCATGAAAGCGCTCTGGGTCTGCTGCACGGTACATTTCTATTTAAAAACTATCCGATGGAAGAATTGACAAAGGCGTTGTTTATTGGAAATTGTGCAGAGAAGAGTTTGCATATGACAGAAGCACCTGAATCCTACGACATTGTTTAAATGCAAAACAAGCGACAGCGAGAACGGAAACTGCTGGAGCTGTTCGCGGGAGCAGTTCCGACGACTAACAAGAAGCGTCAGCAGCCCAAACTCGAACAAATGACACACGACTTCACGAAAAAAAATGAGTGAAGCAAATATTGTTATGCGATTACCAAAGCCTGTAATAAATTTTTTTTTTTATCAAGTCTCACCCCTAGTTTTAACTTTTATTGACACAAAGCTCTTCTATAGTTACTTCAAGGATAAATAATAGCTACATAAACACATTTGGATCAGTTTTGAGTTATTTTAAAAGGAAATAAATGCAGTTTTTAGTCTTGCTTGATATCGGGTACCTGCAGATATTTAAAGCTGTACTATAAAAATCAAAATATCGTATCAAAATCGGTGCTGGAACTGAAAAAAACGGAATGGGATTTAGTTTAGTTTAGATGTTTAGATGTTTAAAAAGTGAAATTCTGTAGAGTGCAGATTGTAAACAACTTCAGGAGTGTTCACGTTTGAGAGAAGAACTGAAATCTGAACTAACGAACGAACACAAGAAAGCTTAGAAAAACTAAAATTTTCTACAAATGAAAAAACTTCAGTCTTCGCAAAGGACGTTCCATTACGCAAAGAACCGCAGCCGTTGCAATTCGACAACAGCGCCGAGTCGAATTGCGATTTCGATTCGATTTCGAGTGTATTGTGCGGCGCTGTGAGACGGAGCTACAGTCTGCATCCCAAATTATCGGCCAAAGCATAGCAGAGATTATCACACCCGGCCTCACCCTGCACTACGGATGCCACGATATCAAATTATAACGAGCGCCGCATTCTCCTTCAGTCACATATTCTAATGTCGTCCTCCAGCATTATAAAATCAACCTTATAGAGATAATAATAATAATAATTAGGGATGGGACGAGACACGAGATTGGATGAGTTTTGACATTATTTAGGCCAGGAATCACCCAACTTTTTTTCTCTGGGGGCCACATTTTCGAATCCTATCTTCTCTTATAGGCGAGTTTCATTGTTGACAAAAGCGCGCGTTGCATGCTGGGAATTATTTTGGTCGGCGGCAAGAAACACTAATTCAACATGACGGACGGAGTGAGAAAGCACGTAAAGGGTATTGATCCCGGTTATTTATCCACTCTAACAGCAGAGGACCCAAGACCATTTGACCAGAAATTGGTCATAAGCATCAACGGAGCCAAATCACCCTTTTCAACACCGACAAAAGGTGGAACAAACCAAACTTCTGGTCAGAATCACCAACTACCTGGACAAATATTCACTTCGGTGATATCCACAATGACTTGGTGGAAACTCCTGGGCCATTCACAGCAGAAAAGATGAAAACCTCCAAGAGTCTCGATGTGTTGTTGAACTTGTTGGAGTCCACGGTTTGTTAGGATCTTCTACGTTTGCTCTGCGGATGTTTGAAAGCCGTTTAATTCGCCGTTAGCGGTTCTTTTCCCTCGGAATATGAAAGACGTTTTCCTTCTTCCGTGCTTCTATTTGTGCATCCGATAATGCAGCAGGAATTTACCATTATCGGGGATAAATGCGCGAGGTTACGCACTGTGTTTGACCGCTACCGTGTTTCTTGCCTCCGACCAAAATATTTCCCAGTATGCAACGCGGGCTTTTAATAACGTCCACTGTTCTTTGAAAACTTTGAGCTCTCTGTCAACTTTTTGTACTTTAACATTCGCATTTTGTTGTCTTTAACGGCACTACAGAACTGTGCGCGTGCGTCGGCTGTCACTGTTTGACCTCGAGTTTGTCACGCGACGAAAATTCAGCGGCAAATGTAAATACGTCACATAATTATTTTGATATAAATACCTCATATAAATGTCATTTTTTTAATTGGAAAAAAATCTACAAAATAAAAGAGGCAGACGTGTTATTATTTGTCAAAAAGTCCTTTAAAAAAAATAGGCCATGACAATTTTTTAGGACTAGTTCAAGTGGTGCAGGGCAGAGGGGCTGGGGGCCCGGTCAAAGGAGCGTGGAGGACCCGAGTTAGCCCGTGGGCCTGAATTTGATCACCCCTGATTTAGGCTATGATAAATATATTTCACAATTCAATTCCCAATTTCAGTCTCACCATTTTTGAGTTATTTCATTTAATGCAGAAACACGTACTAGGAAACAATGTATTTGTGTAAAGATGATTTTATTACATTTTTTTAATCTACTCACTTCTCTTTTCTGCTGTGTTTCCATAGAAATCCTTAAACTGGACCACAGCACCAGATAGATTGCAGAAGTGATGCCAAGTAGTTCCTTTCAATTAAAAATAAGTATTATATCCTCCTGAGACTCGGCCTATTCATTTGTGTCCTTTGTAGTGGACGTTGAGTTTAACCAGTCTGTGTTTTTAAGTGTTTTGAGATAAACTCTTAATTTGGGGAGTAGATTCCTCTGCCTAAACAGGACCGGAGGATTATAAGTACAATCATTTCCAGGAAAAAAATTTACTAAATAGAAGTTAGTTGGCGGCAGAGGTGGTTTGTTTTGGAGGTTGTGTCTCAAGTATTTGACCTCAAGTCCGAGTCAAATCCCAAGTCAAACAGGCAAGTCCAAGTCCAGTCTCTACTTTGAGCAAAATACCAAATATCGCTTTAATTTTAGACATTTATATGAATTTTGAACTAAATTGTAAAAAGTCATGGTATATTTATGTATGAGTATTTATATAAAAGTTGTATGTGAATTATAACGTCAGAACAGAAAGAATTTAGATTAAAAAGAGCTTAATAACAGTTATTTTGTCATAAAGGATCATGTTGTATGTAGTTCCCTCTGTTTTACTGTGTTGTACTGTATATTACTGTAGTACTTTGGAGTATCACAGTACTTCAGTTACATCCAAAATACCAAACACAGAAGAGGGAGCGTCATGTTCCAGTTTGTTTTTGTAAAATTCACCTCATTTATCAACTGTAAAGACAAAAGTATTTTACAAGAACTTTTTTTAAATTTTTTTTTATAGAGAAGCATCAGGTCTTCTCAAGTCACAGGCCTCAAGTCCGAGTCAAGTCCCGAGTCAATGACCTTCAAGTCCGAGTCAAGTCCCAAGTCATTGACCTTCAAGTCCGAGTCAAGTCCCAAGTCATTGACTTTCAAGTCCGAGTCAAGTCCCAAATCATTGACCTTCAAATCCGAGTCAAGTCCCAAGTCATTGACTTTCAAGTCCGAGTCAAGTCCCAAGTCATTGACCTTCAAGTCCGAGTCAAGTCCGAGTCAAGTCCCAAGTCATTGACCTTTCAAGTCCGAGTCAAGTCCCAAGTCATTGACTTTCAAGTCCGAGTCAAGTCCCAAGTCATTGACCTTCAAGTCCCAGTCAAGTCCCAAGTCATTGACCTTCAAGTCCGAGTCAAGTCCCAAGTCATTGACCTTCAAGTCCGAGTCAAGTCCCAAGTCATTGACCTTCAAGTCCGAGTCAAGTCCCAAGTCATTGACCTTCAAGTCCGAGTCAAGTCCCAAGTCATTGACCTTCAAGTCCGAGTCAAGTCCCAAGTCATTGACCTTCAAGTCCGAGTCAAGTCCCAAGTCATTGACCTTCAAGTCCGAGTCAAGTCCCAAGTCATTGACCTTCAAATCCGAGTCAAGTCCCAAGTCACTGACTTTCAAGTCCGAGTCAAGTCCCAAGTCATTGACCTTTAAGTCCAAGTTGAGTCCCAAGTCTTAGTCCATTTTATCAAGTCAAGTGTCAAGACCTGAAAATAATGACTCAAGTCTGACTCGAGTCCAAGTCACGACCCACCTCTGGTTTGCGGCTGCACTATGATGAAATTAAAAAGGAGACTAAAAACTTTTTGAGCTTGTCTGAGATGTCGTCATCAAAAAAGCTGTTTTAATTTGGACGTCAACTTCACTTCACGTGGATTTAACTCCAAAACGTCCCCGTTACATGTTACAAACTGATAAATAAAAATAAACGGAACAAAATCTAAATGCTTAAGTGTTCATTTACCTCCAAATAAAGAGAAAATCACAAAAATATATGTATATTGTAATTAGGGGTGTGCAAAAAAAAAATCTAAATATCGATATATCACCAAGAGTATTTTTTGGTGTATTTTACTAAATTATTTTGTTACAGAGCTACAGTTTTGTTGCTTGTTTAGATGAAGGAAACTCACTTTCGCAATATATTTTCCATTTTCATCGCAGTTTTGATAAACCTCTTCTTGTGCAAAGAGAATTAACAAAGACTTTTAGCATCACAAGCATAATTTTGACATTATTTTTTATTGAAACGTATCGAATCTATTTAAAATATATCAGACCCAGCCCTAATTGCGATACACTTTTTTCTTCGGGTCCCAGGAGGATGTGGCAGTAAAAAAAATAATAATAAAAAAGGACAGCAGATGGCAGCAGTGAGACTTTGCCACAATAAGGAAGTTGGTCGAATGACTCACACGAAGCATGAGTGGGAATGATGAGTTTGCTGCTGCTGTATTCCACTGTAAGAGTTTAAAGTGGATTTTAAAGGATCTAAATCACACAAAATTGACTCCTGTGAGCTTCAAGTCACGTCAGAATCCCGTCATTGCCTCAAAAAACAGAGCTGGAGTTGTGTTTTGTTTCATTCACGCACGTTCGAGTAACACTTTCTGCATCTCCAAACCTCAAAATGTCATGAAGCGTGTTTTTATTTTTCATCGTTTTAACTTCAGTTCAGTAGAGACTCGCAATTCCAGTCTGAAGTCATCTGAACGTTTCTCGTGAAGGTGTGTGAATTCTAAGAACACATCCTGTATTATTAGCACATGACATCACAAGTTGGTGCAGAGTGCTTTCCGTTTTAAGAAAAAAAAAAAAAAAAAAAGCAGAGTCTAAACGTGCAGGGTTTGTGCGTTCGACGTGTGAATGAAACAAAACGTCTCGGGCCCTAAAGATGCGTGTCGGTGTTTGTCGGTTTGTCGTACGGGGTGATTTACACGTACTTGACGGAGAGGGAGAAGTCCCCCGGGGCGCTCTCGCTCTCTCTGATCAGGAAGGCTCCGTCGTGCCTCTGTTTGTTCAGCATCTCCTCTGCTTTGGCCCGGGGAATCTTTCCGAAGAACCACCTGACAAACACAACACAAGGGTTACATTAAAAAAGGGTTACTCCTATTTTTTTTAATCCAGTTTGTATTTGGATCAGTCTGCAGTTTAACGTGGCTGTAGATGAGAAGCGTTCGCACATTTCACTCGGGGAAATGCCCAAAAACAGAAGGTGGATACAAAATTAATTGAAATATCGAGCGTGGGAATCAGTCATGTCTAATCTTCAGTGATATGGTTGGGTTTTTTTTTTTTTTTTTAGAATGGACAAATTTACAGTCGTTCCTCTATCTATAAAAAAAAGTGTATTTAAAAAATGTCTTTATTGTCTTGTCGTATATGTTCAAGAAAAAATGTCGTTTTGATCAAATCGAAATGAAGATTGATCAATATGTGGGACAAAAAATAACAAACGATGTGTATACTCTACCTGTCAAAAGTCTGAACACATCATCTTCAAATGTTTTTATTTCTTCCCTATTTTTACTACTTTCTAAATTTTTATGTACACAGAATACATAAAATAAATAAATAAAAAAAGAAATATGGAATTATGTAGCAAAAGTTTAAAAAAAAAAAGATTCAAACCTTCACAGTAGCCGCTCTTTGCTGTAAAAAAAATAAAAATAAAATAATAATAATAAAAAAAAAAAAAAATAATAAAAAATAAAAATAAATAAATAAATAATAAAAATAATAATACAAATAGAATAAAATCTTTACTACATAATTCCATGTAACTTGCTTCATTGTGCATTTTGTATAAATTAAAACGTTAAATCACTTGACTCAATATTTTTCCACAAAGCTATGAATGGCAACTTTGAGGATTTGAATGGAAAATACATTTTAAAAAAATAACTTTTTTCCTTTTTTTGAAATCGAAAACCAAAATAGATTAAATTTAGATTTACTGTCATTGTATGAAATACAATAAAACTTTGACAGAGCAAATTTGCAGCAGTAAAAATGAACAAATATAGACACATTCTCATATCTATACCAATAAAAATATTAAATAAATACATAGATTATTGTCCCTGCAGGCCTTTTATCTGAAATCCACCAATATGAGATAAAAAACTGCCCTAGTGGAATCTATAAAACACATCAAACCCATTATAATACCACAATTTTTTTTTTTGAGTTAAAATAAAGCAATATTTAAGTTGTCTAAAAGAATATGATAGATATTTTACAAACAAAAACAAGAGCATTATTATATATCAATGTATCAATCCATATAAGAAGAAATGTCGAAAATTAACTTCACTTTACTATTACTTTATCTGGTCAAAAATGTGTTTTGAGAATTTAAATTTCAAGAAATACAAATAATAGACTTTGAATCGTCGACAAAAAATAATTACTGACTAGTCAAGTACAAAAATAATTGTTAGTTGCGGTTCTACTTGTATCTTAAAAACACAACTAACTTGAAAAAGGATTAAACACAAAACAAGCTGCTATGTAATCTTCCAAACAAAAGCTTTTTAAGAAATATTTTTGCACTTTCACAGTCCATTTGTATTTTATTCAATATGATTTGGCACATTTCTTATGTTTGGTGCAATATTGTCTGAAAATGATGTTCTAAACGGTGAATTTTATTGATTCCAGTAGCTCGAGAGTCAAAGTAAAACGTCACAACCATGAGGACAAGGCCATAAGAAGTCATGAGTGAAGCTGCAGAAGTCGTCCCGTGGAGCGGTGCAGCTGAAAGTGGTGCAGGGTGCAGAGTGGGTGTGAAGGAGCAGAGGGGGAGTTCAGCAGGTGCAACACTCAAGTCATACAACTATTACAATACACACACACTATAACACTATACACACTATACACACACAATATACACACATTATACACTAACTCCACATCCTACACTTTACACTTTCACCTCACATCACATCAGACACACTGGGTCCATCAAATGTATTTTTTGTGTATTGTAGTAGTAGTAGTAGTAGTAGTAGTACTAGCAGCAGTAGTACTAGCAGTAGTAGTAGCACTAGGAGCAGCAGTAGCAGGAACAGTAACAGTACTAGTAGTAGTAGTACCAGTAGCAGCAGCACTAGTAGCAGTAGTAATACTAGTAGTAGTAGTAGCAATAGTAGCAGTAATAGTACTAGTAGTAGCAGTAATACTAGTAGTAGTAACACTAGTAGTAGTAATAGTAGCAGTAGTAGTAGTAGTACTAGTAGAAGTAGTAGTACTCATAGTAGTAGAAGTAGTAGCAGCAGCAGCAGCAGCACTAATTCTGTAGTAGTAGCAATAGTAGCAGTTGAGTAGTAGTACTAGTAGTAGTAGTTGTAATAGTAATAGTAGTAGAAGTAGTAGTAGTCAGTAGTAGTAGTGCTAGTAGTAGCAGCAGTAGTAGTAGTAGCTGTAGAAGCAGTAGCAGTAGTAGTAGTAGTAGTAGCTGTAGTAATAGTAGCAGTAGTAGTAGTAGTAGTAGTCGTAGTAGTAGTACTAGTAGTAGCAGCAGCACTAGAAGTAGCAGCAGCACTAGTAGTAGTAGCAGCAGTAGAAGTAGTAGGAGTAGAAGTAGTAGGAGTAGAAGTAGTAGCAACAGTAGAAGCAGTAGCAGTAGTAGTAGTTGCAGTAGTAAAAGTAGTAGCAGTATCAGTAGTAGTAGCAGTAGAAGCAGTAGCAGTAGTAGTAGCAGTAGTAGCAGTAGCAGTAGTAGTAGCAGTAGTAGTAGCAGTAGTAGTAGCAGTAGTAGTAGCAGTAGTAGGGATGGGGCGATAAAAAAAATCTCTAAATTGGTTGATTCTGGTGTTTCGACTCAGCTTCATGTTGCGTGTCTCTCCATGTGCTCCGTGTCGTCGTTTTGTCCCTCCGTGTCGTCACACCCAACAAAAACCTAACTTATTTTTGACAGGGCATCTGTTACAGTGGAAAGAAGTAGGGCCACATTTTTATCTTTCCATTTTAATAAAGATGATCTCAGTCAAAGTCTGTGTGAGGTATTTTTGATTCGCCAGGTTTCACTTCCCTTTCAGACCATCCTTTCAACTGAAGGCACAAACGCCGGCCGCTTTCTTCAGAAAAAAAAAAGCAAAGCAAAAAAAACCCCCAAAAAAAACCAACATTGAAACGGATGGACAGAAGAGTAAAAGCTCTTACTGCTCTGAATTATTTAAAACTGCCGCTGGCGAAAGGCACATCTCCAGCTCCATTACACTCAGGTGAATATTAATAATAAAGGCTTTAGAATTTTTTTGGGACAGGAAAAAAAAAAAAAAAAAGAAAATATAGAACCGTAAATTACACTGGGACAAAAACAATACGGCCCCCGCAACCAAAAATAGGCACGTGGAGTTGAGTTTTGAAATCACCAGATGCTTTTCCACTCTGGTTTGTATCAGAAATGTCAGGTCAGGTGGTGTTACGCTCTCATGTTATGTCATTCTTGCACTGATGCTTGCATGTTTTCCATCTGCTGACTAAAAAGGTCACAGTGGGCCACCAAAGCTCGGGCTGTGATTTTTCAGTCGCCGCGTGCTGTGATTGACATTTTAAAAATCATCCCAAGCGGTTAAAGAAGTTTGTTTTTCGCTCGTAAACGTAAAAACCACGAATGACGGGCACGTTTAAGGTTTGGACGAGCCATGCCACCCAAAGACGAAACTCTTCCAGTTCAAATGTTTTTGTAATTAAGAATAAATCAACGTCACATCTGTAAAAACGATATTTTGATGTACATGTTTAACTTTTTTCCAGGGACAAAGACAGGTCAACTTTCTTAAATGTGGAAAACAAACAACAAAACAATCTACATACCCTACACTGCAAATTTCTCTGATGTGGCCAAGATTTTAAAACTTAAATCAAGTTATTCATCTTCGTTTTCCGATTTATTTTCTACTTAACTAGTTCTGAGATGCTTAAAGGTTGTATAGAGGATTTTTTAAGGAAAGAGAAATACAGCGACAGTTCTTTTTCAAATGTTGCGCATGCGTGACACTGCCTCCGTCCTCCACAGCTCCCTCAGTAGAAACACCTCCTCCCGCCTCTTTACTTTAGAAATCACGCTTGTTTACAACCGTGCGCGTTCAGAATTACTGTTGAAGTGACCTGTCTAGAAATAATTTAGAAATAATTACGTTTTTAGACCCTTCGTCTGGTTCGTTCGCGCCATCGCTGGAAGAGATCTCCAGGAATCACCTCAGTTTGTCTTCGCTCCTTTTTCCCTTCTTCTCTTCGTCTTTCAGCGACCTCAAAAACGGACTTTCTTTCGCGGCGAACTGGTCGTGGATTCTCGTCCGTCGTCGCAACAAACGTTGTGCGAACTGCGAGGAAGCTACAGTTTGAAAAAAGCCTCTAAGAACTGCTGCATAAACCACGTAATCCCCACACGCCGGCGAATCAGTTACACTAGAAACGTAGGGAGTTTGATTGACAACCTAACAGCCAATAGAAAATGAGGTAGCCTGGTTATCTATTGGCTGATGTTTATCTGGCCTCACTATATTCACAGTTAATAGATTTTCATTCTTTTTTTTTTTTGGTCATCATAATTACAAGGCTGCTGCATCTCCGTAATGATATTTTAAACTTTTATTGACAATTTGAAACTAAAAAAAAAAACCTCCATACAACCTTTAATTCTAGTCTAGAGATTTTAAGTTAACTTGTCAAGTAAAATGATCTTGCTGCATGGACAGATAATTTCGCTACTTTAAAGTCATTTTCAGATAGATTTAAGTGTTTATATCTTGAATTTTGGTCAAGTTTGTTTTGCGTGGTGACTTTGAAGGAACTATGGATGTAACAATAACCAAAATATTGTCAAAAGTCTCACAAAAATATCAATGTGCAATCACATGTATTGAATTACAAGTTTATTTGATCGAGGATTTAAAGCTGGAACAAAGAGAATGTTTGGTGAATTTTATCAAGTGGAAAGACGTTATGGGATTTGGGAAAAGCTTAATATACCAGTTAGTCCCGTTAGCGGTGCATTACATAAGTCACCACCAAATAGCAGCGATTGGTTAAATAAAAAAAGTATCCGTCTACCATT